CCATATCTCATTTTAAATTTCTTAATGTTTGCACATCTCATGATACTTATTTAAGTTTATTGAATCATGCTTGGAAATTTGGAGTTGGGACTAATTGGTTTGTTTTGTGGCAACTACATAAGAAGTTGGCTGCTCATTTCATTAATTGGAATTACCGGGTCTTTGGTAACATTCATAAAAAAGTGCAGGATGCTCAAAATATTATTGATTCCCTAAAAGTTCAATTTAATTTTTCAACTGGTTTGATGGATGTTATTGCTCAGACTCACATTGCTTTAATGGATGCTATTTCTTTAGAGGAAAATCTGCTTCAACAGAAGACTAATGATACTTCATTTGCTGCAAGAGATAGAAATACTAAATATTTTCAAGCCACACGTAAGCACAGAAGAAACATTAATAGTATTTTGAAAATTAAACAGGGGGATGGGAGTATTTTAACTTGCATGGATGAGATTGGTCATTGTGCTGTTAACTATTTTACTGAACTTTTTCAAACCTCCACACATACAATGCCTGTTGACTCTACACACTTTGTGAATGAGTATAATTACATTGACAATCTTCATTTAACTTATTCTCTATATGAACAGAAAATCCTGAATGCTTTCAAATATATTTGCCATAACAAAGCTGCTGTGCCTGCTGATTTTTCTTTTGCTTTCTACATTCATTCTTCGGAGGTTACAAAGAAGGAGGTAACCCTTGCCAAACAAAGATTCTTTCATGGCAATAATCCTGGTAAATATGTCACCTCTTCTTTAATTGTGCTCATTTCAAAAGGTAATGATAAGATTTCTTGGGACAATTTTTGTCCTCTATCTCTCACTAGTGTGATATCTAAAGTTATGAGTAAAATTATAGTAGACAGATTCCAACCTCACCTCTCTCATGTCATTGCTGCTTAGTAGTTTGCTTTCATTAAGGGTAGGGATATTACTGATAATATTCTTTTAGCACAGAAGATGATTGAATATTTGGACAAGAAGTGTAGGGGGGAAACATGGTCCTTAAATTGGACATTAAGAAAGCTTTTGATACTATTAGCTGAGACTTTATTATGAATATTTGGCAGGCTAAAGGCTTCCAACAGGATTTCAGCTCTCTCATTAAGAGGTGGATTTCTAAGAACAGCTATAGTGTGATGGTTAATGGTAAAGCCTACGGTTTCTCTTTAGCTAACAGGGGCATTAAACAAGGAGATCTCCTCTCTCCTACAATTTTTTTAATTGCATTTGATTATTTGTCTAGACTCATTAATAAGCTGTAATATGAGCATTCTTATATTCAATTCTCTCATAGATCTTAAATTATGGTGAGTCAACTCGCTTATGTTGATGATGCTATATTATTTTTAAATGCTAGCAAACGTGCTATCAGCTAGCAAACTGCTAGCAAACGTGCTATCAAAGCTACCATGTCTTTATTAAAAGATTTCCAAAAACATATCAAGTATGATGTTTAACTTGGCTAAGTGCTCCATTTATTTTGGCAAAGGTGCTTTCTCTAACACTCATGCTTGGGCTTCGAATTTTGTTTGTTGTAAAATTACTAAGTTACCTAATAAGTATATTGGAGTTAACACTCTTAAAGGTAGAACTAAGCAAACTCAGATGGATGATGTGATTGATAAAGTTACACTCAAGATCAATGACTGGAAAAATACTTTTTTTTCTAATGGGGGTAGGCTCACTTTGTTGAGAAGTGTCCTATGTACACTTCCTCTCTACTCTATGCAAGTTATTAGAACTAATAAAGGCAGCCAAAAGAATCTTGAAACTATCTTCAACAAATTTCTTTGGAAGGGCACTAGATCTTCTAAGAGTTTGACTAATTGACAGTATAATTGTAAGCCTCTCTGTGTTGGTGGGCTTGGGTTTAAAACTCTGCAAAAAATTATTTATGTTAACATGCGTAAACTTTGGCTTAAATTTTATTTGGGGGATTCTTTATGGGCTAAGTTTATGTTTCTTAAGTATTGTAAAAATTTACATCGTTCTACGTTCAATTGGAGAGTGGGGGCCTCTAAGCATTGGACGATCATTATCTCTACACGTGATGTTACTTCTCATTTATTTTTTGGGACATTGGGGATGGTGTTATTTCATTCTGGATTGTTGAATGGGCTACTTCTTTGTATTCTACTTTACTAACCTCGGGTTATGATTCTAATCTGCTTGTCTCTAATTGTTGGATTGATTTTGTTTAGAATATAGAAATGCTGAATTCTTTAGTAGGTGAATTAGCTCCTGCCATTGGCACTATCCCTATTTGTGCACAAGATAAGGATGTTGCTCTCTAGAAGCATCAAACTAGAACCTCTGTTACTAAGATGCTCTACTTAAAACTGCACTATTTTAATCCTTGGAAATGACATGTTTACACTTGGCATAAAGATATTTCTCTTTCCATATCCTTTTCCTTTGGAGATATTTTCATAATCTACTACTTGTTGATGATATTCTTAAACTGATAGGGTTGAAACTTACCTTCTTATTATTATAATTGTAAAAAGGATGTTGAATCAATTAACCAATTTATTTTTTATTGCCCCTTTGCTAAACAGGTTTGGCAATGTTTTGGGTTCTACTTTAGTATTATTTGGCCCTTAAATTTGACACTTAAATCTATCATTGGGATTTGAAAGGATTTTGATCCTTCCTTCAAAAAGCACTTTTATTTCTCTATTATTATTTTATGGTTCATCTGGATGGCTAAGAATAGTTAGAAATATGAAACTCCATGTCACACTCCCTCCACCATATCTATTTTAGTAGCAGCTTATTTTCATAAGTCATGGAAGTTAACTAATTGGTCAAGCTACCTCTTCTACTATTTATAGGGGTAGGAAACCCTTTTTGATCAAATGGGCACCACCCCCCCATGGCTGTTTTAAAGTTAATATTGATGGGAGTTATTCTACAGCCTATACAGATATGGGAGGGTTGATTCGTGATGATTGAGGTAAATGCATTGCTTATTTTGACTCCCCTTGTATTGCCAATTCTTCTCTCGAGACAATGACCAACGAAGTGCTTGCTGCACTTCAAACAGTTGCCACTCACAATTAAAATGGCATTCTGCTGGAAATTGATTCTTAAATATTGTTTAACATTCTAACGGCTAAGCTCAAATCTTCTTGGTATATTATTTCATTTATGAGAAGGATTTGACATTATATTGAGATGCAACAACTTAATATTCCTTACTATTTTACTTATAAAGAGGGGAAACACTCTGCGGATTGGCTAGCTAAATGGAGAGTGCATAGTGCTATTGTTGGGGATAATCCCCCCCCCCATTCTTGCACACTCTAATTCAAAGTGATTTATTTGATGCCCCCCCCCCCAATTCTTACACACTCTAATTCAAAGTGATTTATTTGATGCCCCATATGTTAGATTTTAATATGCTCCCCCTTCCATTACCTTTGGTCTCTTTTTTTGGCTTAAGGTGGTAGGTTTTGGTTTTTCTGGACTGCAGTTTCTCTTTTTTTTCTTGGATGGATGCTGCAAGGTTGTTTTGGTTCAGACTGTGTTACCTGAATAGTGTTCTTAACTTTATTTTGCTGAATTTCTTATTTTACCAAGATATTGGGGGAGTTGAAAAGGAAATCCCTTTCTTGGTGTTACTTATGTTTCCTCATTACTTGATTTTTTGTTTTTTGCTTTGTGATTATTGTGGTAGCTTTTGGTTAGCTAGACTGGTGATTTTCTTTGCCTTTTGGAAGGATTATGGATGCTTGTGTTGGTCGAGGCTGTGTTTGTTGGATATTGGGCTAAATTTCATTTTGCTTAGCTTGGATTTCTTTTTTGGGCAGTTTATCTATGATTCTGCAATCACTTATATTTCTAACGCTCTTAGCTTTTACTTCTTTGGACTTTATTTTTCTATTATAGGCCTTTACTGCCTGGATTTGCCCTCTATTGGAAAGATATTTTGGCACACTTTGTGTATGCTAGACACCGTTAAGTTTTTGTCTTGCCTTGGATGGGTTCTTTATGTTAGTAATGCTACTATTGGTGCTAGTGGTGCACAAATCTCTTGGACCTACACGATGTCTTTGTGGATTACTGGAATTTTCACAAAATTACCTTTCTACTTCTACTGCTTTTTTGAGTATTGGGAGATTAATCTTGAGATGCTTCAACAAATTTATATATTGTTGACATATACTCATTGTTTTCCTTACTTCTATTGCCTTTATTGGTTTGTTGAGTTATGCATGTTGCAGCCTCATTTTGTATTGGCCGAGAGATACTTAGTTGTTTGCAGGCGTGGACTATTTTTCTTGTTGATTTCACTAGACAAAGTAGCCTCAAATTGACTTTTCTCTCCTCCACTACAGTTCAAAATGGTTTTGGTGTACATGTAATTTTTGGGTATACTTTTTCTTTTAGTATATTTTAGTAAATTTGCATGTTCTTTTGATTTTTTATGCGTGGGGTTGTAATGTGGATAGTGGAACCTCTAGGATCATGAAGTATTCTATTTTGCTTTTAGATGGGGATCCACTATCCCTCCATTATTTTGTAATCTTTTTTATTAACGCATAAGGAGCCACGAGTTGCGTTATATATATATATATATATATATATAAGTAATGGGCCTAGATTCAATTCATTAATGAAACCAAATCAAAATACAAGGGCAATGAAAAAAAGGTGACAGGAGAGGGCCTATATCAAGGAAGGCAACCTCTCAAACCAACAACAGAAATTATCTGATATAAGGGAGAGGCAACATATCACTGGATAAAAGAAAGTCCAGTGGGGGAGGAATCCTTCTACTCACTAAAGGTTCTTCAATATAGAGCCCCCTTCTAGCCAGCCAATTGGATGGTCTATTTCCTTCTTTTTGGATATGGGAGAACTTGATAGAGCAAAATTTAAGTAATTGATGAATACCAGAGATCCAGCTGATTAAATACCATGGAGTATCTGAAGACCCATGGATAATGTTAATAAGTTGCAAGGAGTCAGATTCTACCCATAACTAATCTAACAGGCAAGATCTGGCAAAGGTGATGGCCCAAAATACAGCTTGACATTCTGCTTCAAGTGAGTCAAAAGCATTAACAAAAGATTGAAAATATAAGATACATTTCCCCTCATGGTTCCTGAATACCCCACCAATGCCAGCAGACTAAGATTTGTGGCTCCCATCACTGTTAATTTTGGTCCAGCCAAACTTTGGGAGGGTCCAACAAATTGTCACAAATTTGGAAATATGTGGCTTGAGAAAAGGACTAATATCCAACACAGCCTCAAACTTTTTAAATTTAATTAGTTTTTGAATAAAAGCAATATAATTGAGACCCACCCTCATAGGATCAAGATGGGAGTTGTCATAACAAAGCCACAATGTTGGGGATGTCCTAAAGATTAGATCCCCTCCAATCTGACCAGAAAATATAAAAAACCTTCCATGTTAGATTCATTGTTGAGATCATGAGTTTACCATTCACAAAAGGCCAAACTTCCTGTACCCAGGTGTAGTCAAAGAAAAGATGGGTAATAGTTTCCTCTTGGGACTGGCAAAAAGTGCATCTGGAAGGACCCCTCAGACCCTTCAATTTCAAAATATCATCAGTGGGAATCAGTTTTAAGAAGAGTCTCCATATGAAAAAAGACATGGATGGGGTGAGAAATTTATTCCAGATTGTATGACCCCAGTGTACCACCAGTTGGGGAGGCTGAGAAGGGATTGGGTTCTTTTTTATAGCTATTATGTCTTTAACTCCAGGTTTTACAAATAGCTTCTGAATATTGGATAGTTGAGAAGGGCTGCAGAAAGGAAGAATTGGAGTAAGGTTCCACTTGCCATGAACCCATATGTCTTTCACAAGCACTGGAGCAGCTGAAGCATTATGATCCTGAAGAAGGCAGCCTTCCAAGGACCAATTGTCCCACCAGATGTTAACCAAGCCCTCGCCAATTTCCGAGACATACAATTGTTCAACATCCTTCCTAACTTTTAACAACCTTTTCCAAATGGGGGAATCCTTTATACCCACAGAGAGTTGGGTGGGGTGTTGATACTTGCAATATTTGCCCCAAAGGAAATCAGCCCATAGGGAGGACTTAAATTTAAATTTGAGCCAGAGTCTGCAAAAATTAGTGTGCATAATTTGGGAGAAAGACTTGAAGCCTAACCCACCCTCCTCAAAGGGTTTACACTCCTTAGACCAAGAAGTCCAGTGTTTTTGCTTCCTATGGCTAGCCCAAAGGAATCTATTAAAGATCCATTCTAACAATCTCTAAGAAGACTTTTTCAGAATGTTCATTTGCAGTAGATAGGATGGTAAAGCAGATAGAACACTTTTGAGGAGTGTGATCCTACCCCCATTGGATAAAAAGGAATTCTCCCATGCTTGCAATTTACTTTGGAACTTGTCAATTATGTGATCAAATTGAATGTTCTTAGTTCTTCCTTTGATAAGAAAAGCCCCTAGATATTTCATTGGAAGGTGACTATTTTTGAAACCAGTGAAATCGATAACCCAAATCTTCAAATCATTTTTGCAATGCTTACTGAATATGGAGATGCACTTCTGTTTATTTAATTTCATTCCAGAAACATCCTGAAAGGTCTCTAGATTCTGCATGAATAGTTTAACAACAACTTTAGAAGCTTTTGTAAAGGTAAGGATGTCATCAGCAAAGGCCAAATGATTAATTAAGGTGGAAATCTATGGCTATAAAGAGAATGGGGTTTCCTGGATGCCAACTCATTTAAACTTCTAGATAAGTAGTCAAAAGCTAAGATAAAAATAGTAGAGGAAAGGGGGTCACCTTGTTTTATACCTCTGGAAGCACTGAAAAACCCATGAGAAGATCCATTGATGAAGATAAAATGAAAATTATTGGACAGCCATCTGTTGATTAGAGAGACAAAGGAGGGTGAGAAACCTCTAGCAACCAGAACCTGTTCAATGAACTTCCAGCTGATTGTATCATAAGCCTTTTTGCTATCCAATTTAAAAATTAAGTTGCCTCCTCTATTGATTCTGTCCAAGTCTAGTACCAATTCTTGGGCCAAAAGCACATTATCAACAATGCCTTTATCCCTGATGAAAGCAGACTGATTCCTGCAAATGAGCTTGTTTAGGTGAGGTTGTAATCTTTGGATCAAGACTTTACTGACTATCTTGGAAATGACAGAAGTAAGACTAATGGGTCTGAAATCATCTCATTTGCAAGGAGTTTTATACTTGGGGACCAGTGTAATCAGCGTAATGGTAGAAGAGGAAAATTATTCAGGGAGGTCAGCCCCCCAGAAGAAACTTTGGACAGTGGCAATAACCTCACACTTCACAATAAGCTAGGCCTTTTTGTAGAAATCATCAGTAAAACCATCAGGACTAGCCACCTTTGTGCTGTCAATGGAGTTTAGAGCTTCCCAAATTTCTTCTTCATCAGGAATGTTAGTAAGCGATAGACTTTTAGTGAATTCCTTTTCCTGATCAAACAGTGTATCATTAATGGCTGAGTGAGAAGATGAATTTTATCTGAACATTTTTTGGAAGTAATGTACAACATCATTAGCAATTCCATCAGCATTGGAAATCCAGTGACCCTCCTGAGAAAGGATTTTGTGTATTGTGTTGCTTTTCCTCCTTTAATTATGCAAGCATGATAATATTTAGAGTTTCTGTCACCCTCACAAAACCTGGCTTTATTTGCCTTTTGGGCATAGAGAGCCTCTTGCATGTTGATCAGAACCAATAAGTTTTCGTTGGCTAACTGAAGATCCATTTTAGACCCCATGTCAGAAGATAAGAGTTGTTCTAAATGCAAAACATTTTGTCAGCTTCAAGGACTTTCTTAAGGACTTTCCCCACCACCTCCCAATTCCAATTTGTGAGCTGTTTGCTGACTTTTTTATGTAACATCCAAATGTTTGCTGACTTTTTTATGTAAAAGCTAAAGCTTGATACTTGGTATGTGATGATGGACATCAGTCCAGGCCTTTGATACTTGATTAATAAGATCCCCATGCATTTACCACATGTTAAGATATCTAAATTTGGCTTTAGTATTAGAAGAGGATGAAGAAATTTGAATAAGGAAGGGTCTATGATCAGACCCACTCATAGCCAAGTGCTGGACAGAAGTATGTAGGAACTCTCTAAACCAAATGTCATTTACCAGAACTCTATCAATCCTTTCCCAAATCTTGCCCCTTCTCCAAGTGAATTTAGGGCCTATAAACCCCAAATCAAAAAGACCAGCAGACTGAATGTTGTCTATATATATATATATATATATAATTTGGGAAAATTAGTATTTTAAATTTTGAAAATACAAGACTGAACTGATCAAATATCCTCAGTAGTTTAAATAAATGAGCCTAATACCACAAGCAATGCATCTATCACGAAAAGTAGGCACACTATTTACTACTGAGGCTTGATTAAAAAAACTAAAGAATTTATAACATCTATTTAAGTCTGCAAAAAACCATTTTTTATGTTGACCGACAAGTTCCCCTATTTATTACAAAATGTTAAATAAGGTTTATATTAAGCTGGGCTATTAAAAGTTTCCAATAATGGCAAGCCCTTATAATAAATACATCTCAGATAACTTAAGCCACCTCACAAAACTCTTGATAAAAATCTTGGGGTATTTTCTATATGGATTCAAAAGGATAAGACTTTCATATGATTGGACAAAGAGGTGTGAAATGAGTTTAGCTCAAATTTGGACCATTTATTATGAAATCCAAAGGAAGAAGAACTAGGGGATTTCATGGATCCTGAGAAGGGGATTTCATGGATCCTAAGAAGAACCTTGATGAATTCCCAAGCTATCTTATGGTTTGGCTTTAGTTTTGAGAATAATTATTTGAATGTTACATCCTAGCAATTTAGTAGTTAGAGCAATTTTATTAGTTAAGGCTTACATTTATATGAGACGGTCACACAAATAGCCTAGAAGATGTGAGGATTTTGGTTGTGATGAACGATAACCTTAGAATCCTAAAAAAAGTTAGGGCTTAAATTTTATAGTAGAGCCACACAAAGGTCTAAAGAAAAAGTTGAGGATTGATGTCATATTAGACGGACAACCTTGAAATCCTATAGCTTGTTTTTTCATTTTAAGGAAAGGTGTGTTATTGTAGATTCTCATACTATTGTAGAAAGGCTGCCCACAAAGCTAGCTCTAGGCTCCTCGGCGAAGTAGCAGTCCTAAAGTCTAAAATTTAAAAGTTTAAATTAAAAGTTTAAGTTCAATCAGGGGAATTAAAGTTGATTAAAGCAACATTGATTAAGATCCCATGGTTCACTCGTTCCAGTATCACTTTTTTCTTTTGAATTTACTTAGCTTAAACAAGTTGTTACACTTATTTAACCCGAGAGATAAACATAAAAGATCTCGTTAGCAACCGTGAGTTACCTTCTTTGAGGGACTCCCGTAAATTCAAAAGGATGTTTTAAGTTTAGTGATATTTTAAAGTATTTATTGTAACCTTTCAAAAAATTTGTTTTAGATTTTTGAAAATGTTGATTAATTTTTTAAATGGTTTTAGTTTTTTCATGTAAGGTAAGGTGCACAACCAAGCAGCTAAAATATTTTGCAGCAAAAGTAAATTGCAGAAATTAAAATGGTAAAAATTAAATAACACTTTTAAAAGCGTACCAGCCATCTTCTCGGCATTACTGCTGGAAGGTTAGCTTTCGCAAAATGTATATAATTTTATAGAATTTAAATAAATTGCAAGAGTAGACAAAGGTGTTGTTTCCTAACTCTCAAACTATGACTCAATGAATTTCGAAAAGATCTTAGTGAATGATTTTAGAACCAAATATAGCAAGTTTAATTTTTCCTCCAAAATATCCAAGAGATTCCAAAGTGTTCGGGGAATGACCCTGAACCACTTTAAAGATCTCTTGAAAAATTTCGAGTTCAATTTGAACTTATTATATAGTTCCATTAATAATAAAAGGTCAAATTAAAATTACTTCATTACTCGGTGAACTTTGACATTTTAATCATCCTGAAGGTAGGGAACTTTATTACTCGGTGAACTTTGACATTTTAATCATCCCGAAGGTAGGGAACTTGGGAACTTTGTTGATCAATTGATAATTCACTTAAGAGTTATCTAGGTGAATTCCCCAGAGGCAAGTTTAAGTCATTAAATATTTTTTACCCACCATAAAATTTAGGCTCATAGTGTTTAGAAGTGTTTATCATGAATCATGTTTCCTTTCTAAATCCCATCATGCAAGTTTACATATATAGCTTAGATCACCACCAAGCCCTAAACAATCTCAATGGGAGAATTGGCGATTATGAAAATTTGAATTTATGTGATACATATCCCTATTAACATATCATATTATCATTAACTATGGGTTTAAAATAAGAAAACTGTCATCCTCCTAGCATAATCCCATCACTTCATAATCATCTAATTTTGATTAACTTCCAAACCTTGATAATTTAGAAAATTATGATTTTACTCTTTTCATGGAAAAGTGGGAAATTAGTTTCTACCTTTTAACCCATTATGCTTCAATCATCCAAAAGAATTCATTAGGATCAAAATTACCCATTTCTCTCTTTAGTTAAGCCTAAATTTTGATTAATGCACAAGAATTTAAAAAGACCATTTTGTCCTTGGGGCTCTCCACTCATAACTCATTAGGCATAATTCAAATGAATTTGAAAATTTTAGATTACCCTATCCATGGAGCAATTAAAACATCAGAGAAAAAAAAATGTGGTTCTCAAACTTTTATTTAATTTAATAATTATTTTAACCTAGAAAATCAGATTTTTATTATAAATTTATTTAATCAATGAAAATAAAAATTTTGCTTATGGGAAAAATATTAGAGGTTCACCTAGGTTGGAGAAACATTTATACAAAATTCCATGAATTTTGAAATTAAATTTTAATTTAATTTTATAATTATTTATTTATTTCTTTGGGATTTATTTAAATGGAAAATATGTTTTAGTTACAAAAATTTTTTCTTATAATTTTATTAAATCTCTTTGAGTCCCGAGACCTGAGGGAAATAAATCTTATATTTTTTTTTGCTAATTTATATATTATAATTATTTAAATGAGAAAATAAGAAAATGATATTTTAGGCTTTTCTTAATTTATTTTTAAATTAGAAAAATTGGTAAAAAAATTGTGAAAAATATTTTAATGAAGCCTAAGTGATCAAGAAACCATTAGACACATTTTAAAACATTTTTATTTTTTTTGAAATTTTTAATTATTTTTGTTTATTTTTAATTCAAAATATAGTTAAAAAATGAAGTATTTTATCAAAAATAATTTTTATTTTTCCTAAGTACCCATGATCACAAGTAACTCTGAAAAACAAATTTCATAATTTTCTTAAGTGTATTTGAATTGATATCACTATTTTTTAACAAAAATACAATTTTTCTCATAAAATCAACTTCCCAAATGTAATCAAACAATTTTCAAATTTTAACAGAGATTCAACATGATAAATTATAAATATTTAATCAACTATAGAAATATACAAAATTATTCAAACCATCATGACATTTTTCTTCAAGCTTCTTTGACATAGAAAACTTACTAAAATTTATCCCATAATTTTCCAAGTGATATTTTAATTTATATAATTAATTTTTGCCAAAATGTTCATTCAAGCTTAAAAATTAGGGTTACAAACATAGAGATGCTCTTTGACCTTAGAAAAATAAGAAGCCATCTCCTCTATCATGAGAAATAGACCTTAAAAATGTCAAGCCATGGTGAGCAATATTTAGTCAAAATAAATTAAAATACTAGAGAGAGTATTTAATTAATTAAAAATTGGAGAGTCAACGAAATTTTTATAGCAACCATTCGTTACACGAAAAAACGAAGGGCATCCATTCAACGTTTTCCAAGTGATATTTTAATTTATATAATTAATTTTTGCCAAAATGTTCATTCAAGCTTAAAAATTAGGGTTACAAACATAGAGATGCTCTTTGACCTTAGAAAAATAAGAAGCCATCTCCTCTATCATGAGAAATAGACCTTAAAAATGTCAAGCCATGGTGAGCAATATTTAGTCAAAATAAATTAAAATACTAGAGAGAGTATTTAATTAATTAAAAATTAGAGAGTCAACAAAATTTTTATAGCAACCATTCGTTACACAAAAAAACGAAGGGCATCCATTCAAGATCCCTAATCTTCAAAATCATTTTCAAATTCTGGGGTTTCAAGGGTAATTTGGTAAATTCTGGTAATTTTGTAAACCCTAGAACTGCCCAATTTTGGATTAGAAGGTGGACTTCGAACTATCAAACTTCAAGGTGTTTTGGAGAATCAGAATCAGAATTTACAGGTTGTTTGGTAAATCATTTAGAAGGTGGACTTTGAACTATCAAATGAAGGGCATCCATTTAGAAGGTAATTTGGTAATTTCATAAAGCAGAAATGAAGGTGGCCAATTCTAGGGTTTCAAGGGTAATTTTGTAAATTTAGTAGATTTGGGGGCAAAAGGCTAAGTTAGATGTTATGGTAAAATTTGTGAGTCAATCACCCTACTTGAGCCATGAACAAATAGAATCCTCTACTTTGGGTCATACATGAACTCATCTTACCTAAACCCTAGCCTAGGGCTAGTGGGTCTAGAGGACCATCTACATCAGTCTTCCAAAGTGTTAAGGGATCAAATTTAGAAAGGTTTGGGCTTGTGGGAACTCTCCTTGAGCTCCCCCAAATTGCAATGTGCAAGTGTGTGTGTGAAACTGACCAAGACCACACCAACAGATGG